GGCCAAGGTCTAAAGCCACGAAGCGACGAGTCGACAGGATGACGGCGCAACGTGCGTGACTGCAGCTGCATTAGCACTTTACTGAAAGGAAAGAAGGTGGCCACCAGCTGCGTCTTACAATGCGCCCAGGTGCACCAAGCAGGTACGTTTTCCTGATCATCCAGTGGAGCTTCGTTGGCAGAGGCCACAACTGGCCTCTTCCCCCCGCTCAAAACAATTCAAAAAGAATCCCTGTGACTACAAGGGGCACAAACACACAAATCTGTTGTCCAATCTTCGTCGAAAGCACCAGTTTGGGGAGCATGACGTAAACCAACCAGACCCTGCGCCGGATGCGCCAGATGCCTCGCTATTCACACCGAAGGCGGCCACGGCCAAGCCCCGGCGTTGGGCTTCGGTGAGGAGTTCGGAGCTCACGTGGATGGACATGCCCAGCCTGGTTTCGGAATGGGCGGCTGCACGTTGAGTGCCCAAAGAGATGGTACTTCGATATGCCCCAAGAGTTCCATGGTGTGATTTTCAGTAATTGCTGGTTCAACCCATCCAGGAGGAACCCCTTCCTTGAGAACGAGGCTGCACCCTGGAAACCTTTCATCCCCATCAACCACTGATTGGAAATTCCGGATGGATATGGACCCAAATGCGATCTTCCACTGTCGTTTGGGGATGATGTCCCGAGGCCAAGCTAAGATAGCTAAGGGATTCATGAATTTATATACGTAAGGACAATATGAAACTATACTGTCTGTCTGTGTCCCTCCCTCCCTCTCTCTCACTTGGTGTCATTTCGGTCTTTTCGATGGAGCTTACATTTTTTTCAGGGCACCTCAAGCCTCAAGATGCTGAAAAACGATGTTGGGCGGTTCAAATCACAAGGGCCATGTCACAACAAATTTAAGGGGGGGGATCTTCCTGAGATAACTCTGATACGGGGTGGCCGTGACTTTTTCAGCCACGTCCTTTCTGCACGTGGTGAAAGAGTCTCACCGCGTGTCCATTGATTGCCCTTGCAAAGGATGGACATCTCGCGACACGTTTAACAGCCTATATACTCATAGCTGCTACATACCTTCATCCCCCCCAGGTGCCGCGTGCCTGAAAAGAAAACCACATTTCAGGGGGTCACCGGGCTGACCCCCTCCTTTTTCAAGGCTAAGGGGGGTTGATCATGTCGTTGTCCCTTCTTTTCAGTCCCAAACTTCGGTCACACGTGCCGTGCCACACCGGAATCCCACTGCGCTCCGCCATCTCCAAGCTCATGGTGGAGCCAGCAGGTGCACCACGCCAGGGGCGGTCGAAAACGGCCTAAGACAGGGCATCGAGGAAGGTCTAAGCGAGGATCTAGGTTGACAGGGGTAAAACGGGGGGAATGACCTACTATAAGCGTACTGGACTGGGCACTCTATATCTCTCTATATCCGCCGACCCCTGCCGAAGCAGGGGAGCGCGTCAGAGGAGGTATGCTTGCGCTATGCTTGCGCTACAACCTCAAACCCTGCGCCAGGTCAGGATAGCAGCCAGAGCCCACCGGCTAGCAGCAGGACCCATGTCAGAATAGCACCCCGGAGCTTGACCGCACCCCAAACCCTGCGCCACCCCCAAAACCCTGCGCCAGGTCAGGATAGCAGCCAGAGCCCACGGGCCCTGGCAGCTGCTGTCTTGATTGAAAGTTTTTTATTGGTTCCGAAAGTGACGTTAGGACTGGCCGCACCCCAAACCCTCCGCCAGGTCAGGATAGCAGCCAGAGCCATGGCAGCTGCTTTCACGTCACGGCCACAGGGGCCACGTCAAGGCTAGGGCCAGCTGGAACCGTGTCACAGGAGAGCTGCCAGACCCCAGGTCAGGGCCAGAGGCCACGTCCCAACCTCAAACCCTGCGCCAGGTCAGGATAGCAGCCAGAGCCCACGGGCTAGCAGCAAGAGCCATGTCAGGATAGCACCCCGGAGCTAGGGTCAGGATAGCACCCCGCAGCTAGGGGCAGCGCCCAATTCCTGGCAGCTGCTGTCTTGATTGAAAGTTTTTTATTGGTTCCGAAAGTGACGTTAGGACTGGCCGCACCCCAAACCCTCCGCCAGGTCAGGATAGCAGCCAGAGCCATGGCAGCTGCTTTCACGTCACGGCCACAGGGGCCACGTCAAGGCTAGGGCCAGCTGGAACCATGTCACAGGAGAGCTGCCAGACCCCAGGTCAGGGCCAGAGGCCACGTCCCAATCTCAAACCCTCGATCCTTTTCCCCACAATAAAGTTATTTACCCTACCTTTCGCCTTCCTGCGTTCTATCTTTCGCCGCAGTATGTTGCCCTTATCTGTGCCATGTGTGTGTTGTGGTTTTGTTCTCGTCACACCTTCTTTCGTTACTAGCAAACACGAAATATTAGAACTTCACTGTCTGTCAGCATGTGTCTTCTACGTAGCTGTTGACACCCTGTGCGTCTGTTTTCTTTCTCTTGGGAGTCAGCAAGCATCAAACATGCAAATTCACAGTAGCAACCAGTCACTCGAACTTACGCATACTCTTACTCCTAATGGGCTAGAGGCCGAGTTTGGCAGGGTCAACTTTCGCCGATCTTCCGCTGAACTTTCGCCACAATTTCGCCTTTTGCGGGGTCCACTTTTGTAGCCAATCCACCCCGACCCAAAACAGGAACAAGAAAAGTTGTCGTCTCTCTCTGCCCTGTTCCCCCTCGACCATCGCGCCTATGTCTGACCCCCTTCCCTGCCTCCTCCTCTCCTACACGCAGCGACCGAACCAGACGCTGCGCCCTCCCTGCTTTCTTCCTCGCCCTGCCCCTGCCTCGCCACAGCGACCGAAACAGACGCTGGGCCCTGTGCCTTCCCCTTTCCCTCTCCTCCTCCCGCTTGCATACACGACCCCCCCTGTCCCTCCCCCTTTCTCCGCCCTTCTCCCACTCCACCCCAACGACCACACCTGACCCCGTCCCTGCCTCCTCCCCTCATACACGCGGCGACCGAACCAGACGCCACGCCCCCCATGCTAGTTTTCCTCCTCCACCTCCCCTGCCTCGCCACAGCGACCGAAGCAGACGCTGGGCCTGTCCCCTCCTCCTCTCCTTCTCCTCCCCCCCGCTCGCCTCTCCATATCCCTCCCCCTCTCTGCCCTGCCTCCCCTCGACAACAACGACCACCCTGCTCCCGTCCCTGCCTCCTCCCCTTCTAGACGCGGCGACCGAACCAGACGCCGCACCGCCCCGTTCTTTCCTCCTCGACCTCCCCTGCTTCGCCACAGCGACCGAACCAGACGCTGGGCCCTATCCCCTGCTCCTCCCCCTTCTCCTCCTCCCGCTCGCGCCTCTCCACATCCCTCCCCCTCTCTACCCTGCCTCCCCTTCACCACAACGACCACCCCTGCTCCCGTCCAAGCCTTCTCCACTCCTACTTCCCGGGGTCGGCGGCACGGGGGCGTAGCCCTTAAATTAATTCCTCGTTTCACCATCTCTCTCACACGCTCTCTCAGGAAGTGCGAACAGGCCGTACACGTTGTGACGGAAGTGCGGGACAAGCCCAACGCATAGACACGGCTTCAACGGCACATGTTTAGTATATAGGAAAATTTGTGTGTGTTGCAGATGTTCACAAAATCCACTCAACTTGGGGACACGGAATACCATGTGGTGACATCGCTGTCTCAAGGAAGCTGCAGGCCGCATCATCAACTGACTTACTTAGAGACAAAGAGAAATTGACACCTCTCAGGGTGTCTTTCGTCATGGCACCATGATACCCAAAGTTTCTGGATGTTGATCACGATGCAACTGCTCGAAGAGCGGCAAATCCTGGTCATTGTGTGAGGCAAATCGAACTGATATCCCATGATATCCTGTGATTCTGATCGCACATGATCGTCGCTTTGAGGCATCCACATGCGGCTCCTGGGGCAAGTACCACACGCCAATGCTCTGCCAGGGCAGCCCACCAGCACGCAAACGCTCCAGGAGACTTACTAGCTGCTCTCTGTCCATCGGTTCCTTCTTGAGCTCAAGGGCGAAGAACCTGAGCTGCCCAGCCATGCTCAGCTCTTTGAGCCCCGAGACTTCGTGGATGTTGGATCTTTCTGGCATCAATTTCGCCCGAAAGACCTTCCAACTGAGGGAGGAAGGAAGTGACATGGCCGGCCGCACCTCGGCGGATAGTCCTGCAAAACCTTCAGAAGCTCCGGGAAGGTCACGGCCTGGACGGAGTGCTCTGTCAAATGCACGAACGGGCATTCCGTGAGTGCAAGACACGGTCCAAGCACTGTAGGTCTAGGTCATGTCGTACCAGTCTTTGGGATCTGTGTTCCTGTATTTTTTGAGGGGGGGGTCATGTGTATGATTATAGTATGATATAGCTTAACGTAACATACACACATACATACATACATACATACATACATACATACATACATACATACA